TCCAATGTTGGGGCATTCACAACTTCTGCAGGCAAGTTGTTCCACTTATTAATTTTTTTAAAAAAATTTGATTTATATGCCGCCCTTCTTCGGAGACTCAGGGCGGCTTACAATGCATTAAGCAATAGCCTTCATTCTTTTGTATATTTATACAAAGTCAGCTTATTGCCCCCACAACTGGGTCCTCAATTTACCTACCTTAGAAAGAATGGAAGGCTGAGTCAACCTTGAGCCTTGGCGAGATTCGAACCTGCAGTAATTGCAGGCAGCTGGTCTTAATAACCAGCTTAATAACAGGGTGCCTTAGACCACTGTACTACCAAGGCTCTTTTGTTCTAACTGTCAGGAAATTTCTCCTTAGTTCTAAGTTGCTTCTCTCCTTGATTAGTTTTCAACCATTGCTTCTTGTTCTACCCTCAGGTGCTTTGGAGAATAGTTTGACTCCCTCTTCTTTGTGGCAACCCCTGAGATATTGGAAGACTGCTATCATGTCTCCCCTAGTTCTTCTTTTCATTGCATTGCTTAATGCATTGTAAGCCGCCCTGAGTCTCCGGAGAAGGGCGGCATATATAAATCGAAATAAATAATAAACACTGCTATCATGTCTCCCCTAATCCTTCTTTTCATTAAACTAGACATAGCCAGTTCCTGCAACCGTTCTTCATATGTTTTAGCCTCCAGTCCCCTAATCATCTTTGTTGCTCTTCTCTGCACTCTTTCTAGAGTGTCCACATCTTTTTTACATATATATATTTGACTGTAAAGAAGCAAGAATGCATAGGATAATAAATACTGTGTTTCTATGCATAATATGTAAATCTTGTAATTGTGTTAAAGCAACAAACATTTCATGCCAAGATGAGTAGTCATAGATAAAATGTCATGTATCATCATCATCATCATCATCATCACCATCATACTCGGAACTGCCTAATACTCAGATGCTACCTTAATAGGTCTTTGGTTAGGACTTGAATTCTTACGTTTTTACCAGTCCCAGACTGAATTGAATTGAAGATTAATAAAAACAAAAACAAAAACAATAATGCCAAATAAAGTATTCTATTCTATTCTATTCTATTCTATTCTATTCTATTCTATTCTATTCATATTATTTGAATAAAGATCAATTAAATGCACACATGCATTAAATGTGTCTGGATTAAAACAAACCCCCACAAGACTTAGAAAATCAGAATTAAGATATTGTCCCTGCGAACCAATTAAAATTAAATTAACTGCTCACCTCTGGTCTATTGATGAACAAATGCATAAGCATTTATTTGTGCCATATTGCTCTGTCCTTTGAAATAAATGTTGCATCCCATTGACCCAAATAAATACACCAGAAACTGCAAGGCACTTGAGGTCAAATAAATTATGTTTTCTAAATAATACTTCCTCCGTTCTTTATAGGAAAGCCTTGTCATATATTGCTTATGCTCTAGTTCATTATTAATTATAAATCGTATAGCCTTTTTGTGTTGTTACAGGTAGCCTTTAAGTTATGATCACAATTGGGACAGGAAACTCAGTTGCTAAGTGACAATGTCGTAAAGTGAAATATCAGGTAACCACATTGCTTAGTGAAGGCAATTCCAGAAATCCTGGTTGCCACTTTAAATGTGGACAACGTGGGTCATTAATCCAGGACCTCATGTGATAGCAACTTCTGACTTCCTACTGAGTTGATTTTGCTTGTGGGAAGTTGGTAGGGAAGGTCAGAAACTGTGACCATGTGACGGTGCCTCCTTGTGATATCAAGGCAGATGCTGAGAACCCAGATCATGATCCCATGACCACGAGGATGGTGTAGTGGCCAGAACTCCAAGTGCCCCCCATTATAAGTCCCCTCATTCAGTACTGTCATGATGACTTTGAATAGTTGCTAAACAGTCATAACCAGAGGACCTCTTCTCCACCCTGTAAGATAAGACTACAACATACTTTCTTTTTTATATCTTCTACCTTCTCTGACTCTTTGTTTACATGCTTTCATCCCCTCTTCCTCCTTTCCTCTTATTTCCTCTTTTCTTCCTATTAAAAAGTTCATGTTTTTTCACTGGGGTTAAATATTATATCCGGTAACCTTTTTGTTGAAGCAAAAGATAATTGCATTTCCAATTTGCTTTTACAGTAATGACAGATGAATTCTAATTTTCATTTAAATACTTTACATTGGAAAATACCCTGCGACTAATCTCCAAAGCATAAGCTGAAAGCCGTTTTAAAAAGGGAGAATATTACTGGGGGACAAAATTGCTAAATCTAACCCAATGGTTCTTTGTACAAAGTACAGTAGTCACTTCCCTTTTCTGCCACGAGGAGGCAATACAGATTCATTTGTCTGCCAATTTTGCAACCAAGCTAGAAAATATTGCTTATTAGATTTCCCCAGATCCTGATTTTGTTCCAAACCTTTTCATTTGCTACTGAAGTACATATTGAGAAATATTTAACACCCAAACAGATAGTCCTCAATTTACGACCACAATTGAGATCAAAATTTATGTTGCTGAGCAAGACAGTTGTTCAATGAATCTTGTTCTGTTTTATGACCTTTCTTTGACACAGTTGTTAAGTGAATTACTGCAGTTGTTCAGTTAGTAAGACATTTTTTAAAGCGAATCCAGATTCCTCGTTGACTTTGCTTGTCAGAAGGTCACTAAAGTTGATCACATGACCCTGAGACATTGCAACCGTCATAAATACATGCCAGTGGCCAAGCATCCAAATTTTAATCACGTGACCAGGCCATATGGATGCTGCAACATTTGTAAGTCCGAAAAACGGCCATAAGTCACTTTTTTCAGTGCTGTTGTAACTTTGAACTATCCCTAAACACATGGTTGTAAATTGAGGACTACCTGTATCTGAGAGGAAGTCCCACGAAAGCATTTAATCTCATGCCAAGTCTGTTAGTTTTCTACTCTGTCTTTCCTTGAGGAACTCTGCTCAGCTTATATGAGGTTTACCCATTCATTCTCTGCCCCAAATAATGACCTCACGAGAACTCTGCAAGAGCATGTTGTCAGAACTTGAAGTTGTCAAAGAGGCAAATGGCAAAGCATGAACCTGAACCTGGGGCTCCATGTCCTCCTCCTATCCAGTATCATAATCAGGGCACACTTTGTCTCTTTTCTTTCCAAAATATACCTAGCTCAATATGTTAGAGCACCTAATTTGTGTGCTCTATGGTTTCTGTATTGTTTTATGTTTCTTTGCTGTTTGGGATTATGGTTTGCTAGTCATGAGTTTGTGGCGGGCAATTGTATAAATTGAATGAATGAATGAATGACTGATCCTTGCCTTTGAAAAAATAATGAATGTAATGCGATTCATTATTCATAAAATCGGGAATATTATTTTATGAAAGGCAGCAAGTGCAAGGACAAAATAATGAGACTGCAATTTGAACTAGATAGACTGTCAACATTTAGCCAAAAGCAAAGAAACTTGGCTTGCATATCACACTGTTGTCCTGTCTGCAACAATTTATTTGATGAACATCCAAAAAACTGCTACAATACTTCAATGGCCTGGAAAGGTCTCCTGAAAAGCAAACCCCCACTGTTTTCACTGATATAGACTTGATTGTGATTATTGTAGTGCATGTGTGTATAGTAAGCTTACAGTGTAGTTGTTCTTGAAGAAGACTCCTAAGAATATCTTGGACAGCCAAGAAGATAAACAAATAGATCATCAAACGAAACAACCTAGATTTCTCACCTGAGGCACAGATGACCAGGTTCAAATTATCCTTCTTCTTCAGACAACATTATGTTAAAACTTAGCACTCTGGAAAAGGCTCTAGTGTTGGGAAGATACAAGAAAGGAGAAGAAGAGGGTGAACAGCAAGGTGAACAAACTCAGTTACTTTGACAGTGGGAGACTTGAAAGAATAGGTTGGGGCAGATCATCATGGAGAAAACTATCTAAGTGGTTCAGGGATGGGTTCTACTTACCTTTACTACCAGTTCACAATGGGGCCGCGGGTGTGCGCGTGCTCTTCTGCGCATGCGCAGAAGCATTCTGATGACGTTGGAGTCGGTGGGCGGAGCCTCCTGCTGGTTTTACTACCGGTTCTATAGAACCGGTGTGAACTGGGGGCAACCCACCACTGAAAGGGTTGCTAAGAGTTGGCATTGATTTGATGGCATATAATAATCAGCCAAGCTTCCGGTAAGATCCTATCGAACCTTATCTCCTTTTATCTTTGTCTCTCTGGAAGCACTTAGGAGCATTAACGCACCAAGGACAGCTATTGTTTTTATAACCATGTTTGCCTCTTTTTTATTTCGACAATACATGATGCTGAATAATGAGTCCCCAAAATCTTTGGAGGAACCTAATTTCAAATCCAGGGACATAACGATTATATCACAAACAAGGAAGTAAGTCTCACTGAATTCAGTTGGATTTGTGAGTACAAACACATAGAATGATAGCTTTTGGAATGAATTAACAAATACACCTGGATAAACTAATGAATATCTGCAGATTGTCAAGTGCTCAAATTTTGATCACATAACCCTGGTGATGATGTGATGGTTTTAAGGACCCATTGCAAGTTATTTTTTCAACATCATTGCAACTTTGAATGTTCGCTAAGTGTTGTAAATCAAGGCCTACCTGTAGTCAGAATCTTTTGCAACCTCCCAAAAAATAAGTTCCAACTTCCCTGAGGAGAAAATCAATGCAAGATCTCAAGCCTTTAGAGTCTAAAGTAGAAAAAAGCAGAAGTGCATCTCACAGGGGAAGAAAACTTCTGAATTTTCCTGGTCTTCTTACTCTGTACGTCAGCCTCTTTCTTCCTCTAACGTTGTCTTCTTCTGCCATTATTTCTATCTATTATTCACCCTCCTGATACATCTGGAACTCATGCAAGCCATCAGCTGTCTCCCCAGATTTGATGGCCCTTTGTTTCTATTATTTCTAGTTTCCCTGCTGTGCCAGAATTAGCAGAATAGAACTATGATCAAATGAACTAACAAAAATGCTAAGCGCCTGGAATTTTATTTAAAGACATTCCTTTTTTATCCTCCAAAATGTACATATTTCAGCTCGTTTGAAGTAATATTGTCAAGTCCATTCCAAAGAAAATCTAGAATATTCAACAATATGTATCTTTCCATCACTTTGAAGTCCAAGCTGCTCACACTTCCCAATCATGTTATTCTCCCCTAGGATTTAATGGAAATGGAAAGTAAGAGGGCTGGAGACCAGTGGAGAAATGATCACTCAAGGACATGCTATTTATGCCTTATGCAGATATATGCAAATTTCTTAGAAATTCTCACAGTAAGGTCAAGAAGTTGAAATATCTCCCATTTAACAGTTATCTTTTTTTTCTACACAGGAAAATTAATATTACATTATTGATATTATATATCAAATTATCACAAATGAAGGTTTTAGATAAGTCTTCCCCTTCTAGCATCTTCCAGCTATGTTACCCATCACATCAAGCTAGCCAACCATCTGGCTGTGCTGTCAGGAAAGCAGGGTTAGAACCAGGGGTGAAATGCTCCCGGTTCAGACCGGTGGTTCGGAGAACTGGTAGCAAAAATCCCTGCGCCCCCCCCACCCATGCCCAGCTGAGCCGCACAATCATCAGAGGCTTTGTTTTTTACTTTTAAAAGCATTTTTCTACCACCTCTTCCGACGAAAAAATGCTTTTAAAAGTTAAAAAAAAAAGCCTCTGATGATCGTGCGGCTCAGCTGGGATCATCAGAGGCTTTTCAAAGCATTTTTTCCTGCAACCTCGTGGCTGAAAAGGTGCTAAAAAATGCTTTGAAAAGTCTCTGAAGATTCCAGCTGAATTGCCTAATCGGCAGAGAGGTATTTTTTTAAAAAATACCTCTCTGCTGATCAGGCAACTCAGCTGGGATCGTCAGAGAGGTATTTTTTAAAAAGTCTCTCTAAAGATCCCAGCTGAGTTGCCTGATCGGCAGAGGCTTTTCAAAGCATTAGAAAAAATGCTTTGAAAAGTTAAAAAAAAAAAGTTGGCCATGCCCACCCAGTCACATTACCCCCACCCCCACCAAGCCATGCCCACAGAACCGGTAGTAACAAATTTTACATTTCACCCCTGGTTAGAACAACAGTTAGATGAAGAACCTAAGCAATAATAGATAATGAAGGAAGCAAAAGTAGATATCAACTCTGGGTCTCAAGAATCAATTCCTTTTCCTTGCTGATCTTTCCAACATAATTTCCTGATCTTGAGGTCAAAGGATACGTTAGAGATTCAGTTGCTAGTATTATCCAAAACTCATTGATTGAGCCCAAAGTCTGGAATTTCGAAACATTCGAAAGAACATTAGCAAGAAAAGGGTTTAGGTTAGCTGTTCATCTGCCGTTACTAATCTATGTAATGTAATATAACTTTTCATTTCAGCCCTCAGCAGAGGAAAGAAAGCCAGAAGTAAATCTCTATGGAGATTTAGGACATCATCTCTAAATCAAACTTCTTCAAGGTCAAAGCTCCATGATTATAGCAGCTTTTCATTACATATCTTTCAGTAACCCTGCAGACTATAAAGTCTGAGCAGGTTATCCCTTTTCAGGCAGGATACCACAAACAATTTTGATAGTTTAACATTTGGGAAGGCTTCAGTCCAGAGAGATTCAATTAATTTTTCATATGCCCAAAACAGTTTCAAGATGTTCCTTCTCAACTTGAACCAAAAACCTCAGCTCCTATCTAGATCTCTAATATAGATATAGATCAATAAGTAGCAGATGACTTCAAAAATGTCACAGTCAGTAATTACCATCATGTGTGCTTACTAATGCAGATATATTGGAATCTCACAGAAATTGGGCCCTAGGAATTTTTCCGTGTGTGAGCTCCCATTCAGGTTACGTCGCTGTTGGGAAGCATCTTCAGAACATGGCTTTCTCCCATTTGAAATAAGTGGAGGAATTTTTAAATAAATAGTTTTTGACCCTTATGTAATCCTCCCCTATACAGCAGTATCTAGGAATATTATTATTATTTTTTAAATTGTAGGCATAGATACATTTGCCTTTTGTACTCTTTTCCTCACAGAATTTGTCTACTATTAGCAATATGTACCCTACCCACAACAAACATAACAGGAAATGCTATTCGTCTCTCCCTTCCTATCTCCAAAGAAAGTAGTGGTAAATTCACCTTGCTGGATATTCTCAAGAGGAGGTTCACTTAATTTGGATCTTTGCACTGAGCAAGGCCTTCATATTCAATAATTTTCACATTCTACAATTCTATAATTTTAATAGCCACCTTTGTGTAGTACTCCACAGATGACTGTGAAGAAAGTTTTAGAGAAAGAACCATAGATTCAGAATAAAATCACAGTTCCCAGTTTGTTAGCTTTTATTGGATAACAAATGATGTCTATGGAGATTCTCAATCATCCAAGTCATGATTGTCCCAGAGGTGCTTTTCAAAAGACAACGAGACTTTCCTAGGTTTTTTTTCCTTGAAAACATTTTGCTTCTCATCCAAGAAGCTTCTTCAGTTTTTTTCTAGTTCTTCTTTTTATCATCATGCAAATGCTGCCACTTACATATGTGCACAAGACATTGTATGTACAATACATAATCTCGACATTTACATGATGATGTTACCATGGGCATATAATCAGTCTGACATTATCACAGTTTGCAGTGGATATCTCTGCTGATAGGCAATTATAAATATATGTAGACCTTTACTTTCCTACCGTGTTTGTGTTTTAGAAGAAATCAAGGCAGTGAAAAAAATATATTTTGTAACACAATCTAGTATATGCACTTGTTCCAGTTTGCAGTATATAGTTCTTTTCAGGTTGTTTTTTGTCAGGGAGATGAATCATGACATGGAGAAGATGACAGAAGAAATACTGCAGAGTTCTTGTTTATCCTCTTCAATGTCCTGTCACAATTATACCAAAAGGCACCAGAACATGTATTTGCTCTGTTTGTACTTCTCAGTTGCTTCAACCCCTGGAGATACCTAACAGTAACAGGCACCATATTGGGATGATTGAATGATTCTGTCTGGAAATCATCTGGCTTTGGACTTGGAAGGATACATTGAGTACAGTTCTGAGAATCTACTTAAAACTTCAGATGGAAGGGTGGTATAATGACACATCCAACCTTCCCAAATATGAAAGCTTTTTGTTTCTGAAAAGCACAATTCCTTAGTCTGGAAAGCCCCCCTCTCTCATCTACAAACAAACAAGTAAACATACATTTGATTTAATTCCTTCTCATTTTTCATGTCTTGCATCATTCCATTCTTTTAGCACCTAAGTTTGCAGCTAAAACAAGGAGAAAAACCTCTGCAAGATTTATATATTTTCATTTATCCTAATATGTGTTCTTGTATAATGCAATATAATATACACTTATTCTCATGTATGCACTCTGCAATCCATTTTTTACTAAACCAATGTATTTTGTGTACATTTTTCATCCACATATTACCATTATGCTTTACTCATATTTACAATAACAGTCTAGTTCACAGAATTTGGAAAGGCACAGATTTTAGTGAATTGTGTGTGTGCGTGCATATGTGTGCATTTGTGTATATATGCATACATATGTAGAGAAAGCATCCTGAACATGCAGTCCAGTTAACACACATTTGGGAAATGAAAATTGGAATCTAAGCACTAAAATATGAAGCAAATATATTTAGCAGACTCACCATTTGAGTTGGAGTTTAGCAGCTCAAGGAAACAGTTATTGACAGACAATCTTAGTGAAATTATGTCATGAAAATTTGAATGCAAGCAACTGAACAAGTTATATGTGTGTGTGTTTTGCATGTGTATGTCTTTAGTTTTCCTTTACTTTCTGATTTTATCACATTTTTCGGATAAAGAAAAAATGATCTGCTTCCATGCCCACATCTCATTTTTTTTCCTAATTCAGAAGTTTAATATTCATATATTGACCTGAACTTTAAACTAGTGTAGGCAAATTATATCAGAGAAGAATGTACCTTTGATGAAAATCAATTACTCTTTTCAGAAATATTTTCAGTAAAATAATCTCTCCCTCATGAAAACAAGTGAGAAAAAGTTTGGACTTTAGTGTCCATTTTAAGAAAAGCTTAACAAATGGGGAAAGCACTGGATGATGAATAATAAAATCTTTGTTGTAAAGAGCTCTTACATTGGGACCTGATAGATGTAATGGACACATGGATTGGGAAACCAAGAACGCCAATGCTTTAAAAATAAACACCCACCTGTTTTAGATTCGGAGACTGATGGTTTTGAGAAGATCAAGCAACACAGCACTGTGTTCTCCTCCTCAGATCTTTGTGAGGTAAAGCTCTGTATCTTATATCTACTGAAATTCATTCAGCACACAGCCAGGACAAGGTTTTCTATACTGTGGCACCAAATTTTGTATGAGGCCAGGCCTATAATATCACTGTTGTTTTTTCAGATGAATCTAAAAAAAAAAACAGGGACAAGTACAGTGCTCATTTTTGTAGTTGGCAAGAGGTTCAAAACACTTCCATATCTTTTCCATATAGTTCACACTGACCACAACTCTTTCCTAACAGAAAGCAGCTGAAAGGGTCCTGGCTGATATCAAGATCAAGACAGGGGATACATTCTGTCACCCAATCACCACTGTGCCATCTTCCTGCCTTACAAAAATATCACTTGCTACTATATAAATCATTTTACAGTTTCAATACTGAAATTGTAGTTTGCAAGAAGAATTTGGTGCATTGCTGATGTTCTTTGACTTATCACGTATACATTATCTTGTTGTAACTGTGTTTTCTTGTTTTATTCATCTAGTGCTTGTATTATTTTGTTTCCTAGCGAAATTCTTAACAAGAAATGTAAGCTGAGAATTGGCAACTGATTAGAGCAGGGGTGTCAAACTCAAGGCCCGGGAGTTGGATTCAGCCCATGCGGTTTCCAGGGTGGCTCATGGGACTGCCCTGGAAACAGCAAAGGACTGTCCCGTGGTGCTTCTGCCAGCAAAAACAGAGCTCGGGCGGGCCCGAGCTCCGTTTTTGCTGGCAGGAGGCTGTGGCAGCCGAAAATGGAGTTCGGGAGCTTGTTTTTGCTGGCAGAGCACACAGGCCACCATAGGCGCCCCCAACAGGAGCAAGGTTGAGTGGGCCATGCCCTCCTGCCCCCTGAAGTCAAATACAACCCTGATGCGGTCCTCAATGAAATCAAGTTTGACACCCCTGGATTAGAGATTTTTTTTTTCCAAGTTATTAATCAAGAGCCAGTTTGGTGTAGCAGTTAAATCATCATGCTAAAATCGACAGGCCATGAGTTCTAGTCCTGCCTTATGCATTAAGCCAGCTGGGTGACCTTCAGTCAGTGTTTCTCTCAGTCTTAGGAAGGAGGCAATGGCAAACCACTTGTGAAAAAACCTTGCCAAGGAAACAGCAGGGACTGTCCACAGAGTCTCCAAGAATCAGAGAAAAAAAGAGTGGTAGAAAAAGGTTAGTACATTTGCAGACCAACAAACTTTCAAACTAGATGCCTTTTTTTTTAAAGATATAAAAGGATTTTTTAAAAAGCCAGAATCTAATAAATGAAAGCTATTATTTGCCAGAATAAAATTCCATCTGCAATATTTTAGTTTTCATTCATCTCTTTGGTCTTCTGTGGATTAATTAACTGATTATTTTTATTTTCTGCCAATTAAACTATTGCAGTCTTGCAGTTCTGCTGGAAGATAGTTTGACCTTCAACTGAGTAAAAATTTAATCTGCTATTTAAATAGTAAAAATATAATAATAAGCAGAATCTGCCAGTGCAGTTGAAACAATCCTCTAGTTTTTAAAATGTTTTTCTACTATAAAAGTTAATGCAAACCAGTCAAGCTGATAAAATCTGGAATTATCATCGTAAATAGAAAGAATGTTTGGTGGGAGGGCTTTGTGGTAAAGAGTAGAATTTAAATTCTAGGGGTTTTCTATTTGACTTATCAACTTGTTGTTGTTCACAACTACTATGGAATGGCTAGGAAAAAATATTTTTGAAGGGAGCAGAATACAGCCTATTAAATTTAGATCAAAAAGAAATATCCACAGAGCAATAGTAGAAAAAAGGGAAATCTAGTAATAGAAAGACCTAGTCAGCGTGCTTTAGTTTAACAAACATCCTTCTTGCTTTTTTGCAGCTGAATGTAGTAGAGCAGAGGCAGAAAGGAAAGGAAAGATCAAAGCTAAATCTAATAGTACAGAAGAATAAAAGTGAGAGGGAGTGATGTGAATAAGACTGATCCCAGTAGGTATTTGGTAAAAGACACCAAATGTGTCAAAGAATTTTTTAAAAAGGGAAAACATGTTACATATGGAGAAAAATACAGCTTTTGGTATTACCTTTGCACCATCCCAATTTTATTAAAAGATTATGTGGATGGAGAGAAAAAAAAGAATGGACATGAAGTTAATATTACGATAATTCCATTAATGGTTGAACTTCATTAAGGGATTTAGATTACAATTTGAAGTGCTCTGCCAACCATTAGACTTTTTTTTTTTACAAAAAACTTTTTTTCAAAGCAAAAGACGGCAGAATCACAAAGAAGCTCATTAGCTTTAAAAAATGAGAGCTAAGGCATAATGATCAGTGCAGACTTTTTTTTCTACAAAAAGAATTTGAGACAACAGAGCAAAAGGGAAAATGGGGGGATGTATATGACCACTTTAGTCTTGGCAAATTTATGATGAAAGTCCCCCACCAGTGTTATTAATAATAGAACAGGTGGCCTTCTATGCAGGCATTAGATATCATTAAACTATTTAGTTCAAATGGAAGAACTAGCTAAAATAATATAAAGATAAAATTAAAAGACAAATTAAAAATGGCTGAACACTTATGGGATTTTGGCAATCGCTGAGATCTCATATGACTTCCTGTAATTTTGCAAGATTTCACAGCATATGTTATTTATTTATTTATGTGTTTAACTTTCATGGGCATTACTTAGAGGGGGAACAGAGGCTCTGTTTGCAACAGATAATGGACCTGTGCAGAATTTTGTTGCAGCAACTGATTTGACAAAGCTTTGGCAGTTTGAATTGTCAAATCAGATCAGTTGGTCCAATCAATTTGGATAATGGAAAAATTCACGATCCATGTATAGAAAACTGATATTTTGAATCAAATTGGAACAACACTGCTTCTATTAGGAGCATTCAGAAAAGAGAGTTCCTTTCCTACAGCAAAGGATTTAAGCTCCGCAACAAGCAGTTGGGGCACCGTGAAAATTCTGAGAATTTGTGGAAGATATCAAAAAAAAAAAAAAGCAGGTCCACTAGCATGACAGAAATCTGTTTTTGCAAATTAAATTTTACCCATAGTCTTGGCTCCATACTAAATTAGTTCCATATGATCGTGATGATATACAGATTGTCCTCAGGGTATGATGCAGTTGGGACTGGAACTTTAGTCATTAAGCAATGCAGTTTTTAAGTTACTTGGCCTGGTTTTATGACCCTTTTTGCTGTGGTCATTAAGTGAATCTGGTTTTTACCATTGACTTTGCTTTTCAGAAGGCCCCTGGGAAGATCACAAATGGTGATCACGTAATTTTACGATGTTGCAGCTGTTATAAATACACATTGGTTGCCAAGCTCCCAAATTTTGATCCCTTGATCTTGGGGACATTATGATGATTGTAAGTGTGAGGACTAATTGTAAGTCACTTTTTAAAATTGCTGTTATAACTTTGTACAATTGTTAAACTGTCATAAGTTGAGAACTATCTGTAATGATTTGTCTACTTGATTTCAATGCTCCTTAAATAAGGCAATAGATACAATCTTGAACTAGGAAATAAATTCTAGTGGATTGCATAGACCAGAGAAATTAAGCTGTTATTTAATCAACATCCAATCTGTAATATTTTCAATCTTACTCATCCTCCCATAATTACATTTTATTTTACTTTGTTAGTAGATACACCAAATGCTAATCAAAGCAGTAAATATAAATACAAATTAAACAAAAATAATACACTAAAAGGAAAGAGCCAACTAAATTCAGATTTAAAGAACAACCTTTCTGAAACCATATCAGATGAACCTCAGCAATGGCAACTCACATCTTTCTTTATTAATTTACCCAATGATGTTGAAATAAGTGCAGCCATCTTTCCCTATATTAGAACCACAATAAATTTTCTGTTTCAACTTCCTGCTGATTTGCTGAGGGGAAGATCATTGGGGATCAATTAATCTGAAAAGGAAAATCCGCTTAGTTATTTTCCAAAAGACTTGCTGAGTGGGCTAAGTGGAGCTATTCAGGGTGGAAGAAATGGAGAAGAGGGAAAGAAAATGTAATAGTTATACTTTTTCCCAAGCAAAGACTGGACAGAGAAACTTTGTAAATAACACTCTAATACCTAAGAAGCTTTTGAAGGCTGTTCTTTCAACAGAGTACTGCATAAAGAGACAAGAATCTTGTGATAAAATATATATTTTACAATAATTTCCCCTTTTTGGGATGCATTAGTCAGCAGTACTAGATAAAGATGGATGAAACAGAGTTATAATTTGTGGTTCAACAACTCCTGTCATAAGTAAAACCTCTGCTGTAATTATATTATCTCATGTTTTCAACCTCATGAGTTCTGTTCTCACCTTGTTCCTTCTAGTTTTCTTAAAGAACCACAGAACCTGGTTTTTGTCTTAATTCCTGGGAGTGGGGGGTCCCAGGTTGGGAAAAACTGACCTGACCATCATGGCCTACCTAATTTCCCCCTGTTTTTGCAATATATGCTTTGGCTCTGATCAGTATCTCTTTGCTTGCTTTCTTACACCTAAGAATGCAATATACCTAATTATACTGCCTCTGTTCTCTATAATTTATGTTTCCTCAAGAGCCCATTTCTCATTTTGTGTGATATTCTCCCTTCTGTCTCTCACACCCTTTTATGCTGCTGTTGTGTATGGTCTCATTAGGTTATCGGTGTAATTTGGATTGGAGGCTCCTTAGAGTAGAAACCTTGTGTTTGGCCTAATAGATAATACCTCATCATGCTGTTAGATGTGTCTTCTGGGACTGTATTAAACAGGAGTGGCAGATTATTAAGGAGAAGCATCTGGCAGTTTGTGACACCTGGGGTCTGTTTTGCTGCAGCATCAACAAAGTATAATAAAGTATTATTCATCAGATATACATTCTAATGTAGCACTGGATGTACCATCAACATTTGAAGCTTCAGTCAGACAACTATGCAACCAGTGAATACTGGTGTCGGGAGGTGCTCTGGGGCAGGGATGGGTTCTACTCACCTTTATTACCAGTTCGCAACGGGAGCGCATGCACGCGCTCGCTTCACTCGCAGGAGTGCGTGCACTTCTGCGCATGCGCAGATTGTTGATTATGACGACTGGGCGGGTGGGTGGAGCCTCCCGCCACTTTTACTACTGGTTCTTAAGAACCAGACAGAACCGGGAGCAACCCACCACTGCTCTAGAGCAATAAGGACTAATGTTGACCTCTCTATTTTTATAATCAAAGAACACTTTGGGTAGCAGAATCACTTTCTTGCATTTTACCAGCATGAAATGTGAAGGGTCTACATAAGTATGATACCTACCTATGTAGACCCTATGTAAGCATATGTAAGCACCTATGTAAACATAGATACTCCATCATGCTATTGGTAGTATGGAATTTAGGTAAGTTCTCCCTTATTTGGAGATGCTCAGAGAGACTTGGAGCCTTTTCCCAATTCTAAAGTTTGGACAGTTTGTTGCCAAGGAAGAACAACTGTGTGACTGCTGGAAGTGTAACCGAAATCCTATGTAACCGTATCTCCCCAAGCATTCTTTCAGCACTTTAGAGAGGTCATGTGAACCTCTCTGCAGTAGTAGAGTCTCAGCATAGGAAGCGTGGGTTCCACTTGTATATATCTACCATCCAGATTAATGCTACGCAGAAAACATTCTTCTGTGTTTTTTTCCTAACAGTTGTCACTGAACTTGATGAAAGATAATAATGTCCTTTCAAAATTTCTTTCAAGACAGGATGATTCCGGTCAAATTTTTATAGGACAATGAGCAATGTTTTTGTCTTACTTACATTCAAGGTGATGGAAGAATATGTGTGTTTGCTCTTGTGTTATCATTTTGCCAGCAGTTTGTAGCCTCCCTTGTTTCCCACACTTAAATCCCAAGGAAACTGATAATGATGACTCCCCTATTAAGTTTTTTCACAACGGGTAGTGTGGTCAGCCGGGGAGTTTTAGATAGCTGGAAATACATGTTACAGAAAAACAATAAAACTAGCAGGTTGCAATCTCTAATAGTAAGTTGGAAACAATGTCAAGGGAAGTTCTAAAGACATTCTCAGCAGCCTGAGAATAAGGTAGAAAATTAGAAATTCCTTTAGGAGGGGGAAAAAACTTTGAGAAACTTCAAATTACATTCCAGCATAGTATTAGTACAAATACTTGATTTATTGCTCAGAAGTTTGCATTTATTTTTCCTACTTCCTTCCTACAAACAGATGGTGCCAATTGATTTGGGGGCAATGCTTTACATATTAAAAATGAGAAACTTTATAATTACAATGATATTGCTGTGAATTGTTGCAATTATTTTTTTCCCCATCCAATGTAATAATTCTTCATTTACTTGTGTTATGTGCTCAAAAAATATAGAACCAAAAGATGCCAACATATAGCGAGGCAATATGTTACTAAATTAGGCATTCTAAGCTGAAAACCTTACCTAAACCTTTTTTTACCGTTCTTGCAGGGAATGTGGTGGTGACATAACAACATGAAAGCATTGGATGGCTTTTTCTATTCAAGATTTTTTTTTTTAAAAAATTTTTTTTTGAGAGGTTTAGGGAGACTTTTTGAAAGTAAAAAAGTTATGCTTGTTCCTATTAGAGGCTTAATGCAGTTTTTCTAGTTTGTCTTCTCTTTTTTTTAAAAAAAAAATCCACACACACACACACACACACACTGGATATTTACAATGGAGTTTTAAACCAGATACTGGCAGTATAACATTTAGGGTTTCTGGGCTTGGAAGGGAAAAAAAGGCTACATATTATCCACAGGCTGCAAGTTGCCAATCCCCTCTAGCATTCCACATTTCAGGGGCCCATGACTTTACCTCTCCCCTCCCACAAACACAAGGAGGAGAACTACCATAACTCGGGTGCCTCTCATTCCCAACCCTCCAAAGCCAGTCCAGAAGGATACTATGGTCGTAATATCAAAGTCCACTGAGAGGTCCAGGAGCCCAGAATGATTGCATCACCTCCATATCAAGCTCTCCAAAGGTCATCAACAAATGAGATCAATGTTGTTCCAGCGTTTTGCCCAGGCCTGAACCCAGATTGCAGAGGGTCGAGATAGTCCACTTAATTCAGGGCTGTAGCTGTGTGCCAATCACTTTCTCTTCAACTTTCCTAAACAGAAAAAATTGAAGACTGGGTAAAAGCTGCCTAATACAAGAGGATGGCCTTTTGAGAAGTTGTAAAGCATCACCTCCTTCAGGGCAGGCTGTACCACTCTCTCCACAAAGAAACATTAATCACCACTTGTACCCAACCACCTCCGACCTCCCAGGAAGCCTTAACCAACCAGGAGGGGCATAGGTAGCCACACCCACAGTCCCAAGGACCCCATCCACTTCCTCAAGAGAAACTGACTCAAACTCTTCCTGGAGAACAAGGCTCAGACATGTCTCTGTCATTTCCAAATTATTTGTCCAGCCAGAATCCAACTCCGAGCAAAGTGGACTGACTTTATCTGACAGATACCAAGAGCATTTTTCACAGTGAACCTGCAAGGACTACACTTTTTAAAAAAGCCTAGTTGGCTATCTACTGATGCAATAAGAGTAACGATGTAATTATTCTCCACCGACCTTATGATCACCAGATAAGTCCTAATATAGGCTCTTACCTCTTCTTGATCAGCCTCACTCCTTGTCTTCCTCCAGTAGCACTGTAGGCATCTCGTACGTTGCTTCATCTCTCTGAATCATTCAGTAAACCATGGGGCTCTATGAGATCCACACAGAGAGAAAGTCTTCACAGTTTGGTCCATGGCTCCCGCCACCTGCTCATTCTAAGCTGTATCAAGAAGCTCAGCTGAACCATGTAATAGAGTTTTTGGGAAAACTCCAAGCTCCCTCTGAAACCACCCCTGGTCTCTCAGATGTTTGGAATGGTCAATCAAATAAAAGATGTTGGACATTTTCAACTATAGTATGTGGCCACCTGGAGGGTATCTGGTTGGGGGAGAAGGGAAAGGGGAAAAGGAAGAAGACAGACAATTATGTTTGATAGAGTATATAACCCTTGTGGCAGAAAATCCCACTGCGGAAGCATCTGTCTTTTTGAATGCCAGGGGGAAAAACACAATCCCACTGATTATATTCATATGTTACCTGCTGTTATGACTCAGTTTACAGAATCTGGAGCAAAGGTAAAGGACTATCAAGAGATTCATCCTGATCTAGCCATGAACTTCTATAATAGGTGTTTCTCATATATCTGATGAGTATTTGAAGCCACAATTCCATACTCAGTTGAACAGAGGTATAGCAGGAAGCCAGTGTCAGTTAGAAATAATTCTCCAGATTATTATCCAAATTTTTTAATTTCCTACAGATCCAGAACTTTCCTTTTTTAAAAAAGTGCCATTTGGTTGCAGCGCATAGTTGTTTAATCTATCACATCATTTTTGGCCGCAGGCAATGCTGCTCCCCACTTTCCTGTAAAGTATACATGATTTATTTTCCTTTGGATGACATAACTTTGGGAAACAGTGATATCTATGCAACATTTGTTTTCTTTATAAACACAGAAGCATCTGCCTCCTATGGCTAAATTTGCAGGCCGGGACTCTCTCTCCTGGTCTTTCTGAATGTAAATGAAGAGCTGCAAAAAAAAAAAAAAAAAAAACCTGCATTTACCTCTTCCCTTTTACTAAAGGATTTCATATTCCAAAGGCTGGAGGAAACAGAATTTAGGGTGCAGAGAGACATTTCTGCCCTGGTAAAATACATTTGAAACATACAGTATTCCAGCTTCCTTAGACCAATTTAATAATGATTGCTAGCAGTATTACAGAAAAATCCATTGAAAAACAGTACATCTCAAATTCCCTGGTAATAGGTTTCTTTATATAGTGTTATTTTGTTGGCCAGAACTGTACTCTGCACATTGACTATACCAGCCCTGATATAAAGTTACATTACATTGGGAGAGAAAAATCATACTGCTGAATGCTTTTGGTTTTAAAAATGTTTGGGGATATATTTGCAGGACAGCAAAGATTTTGGCTAAGGTAGCTACCACACAAAGTGTATATGTACCGGTATATATAAATTTAAATATTGCCACTGATTTAGACTTGTCTGGTTTCAGAAGATTTTCCAAGACACATATTATTTCTCTTTCTATGCATCTAAAAATGAAAACAAGCAGGCATGCCCAGAAATTCAATAATCAAATAATCATAATGAGAAACAGTTTGATCAAGTAGTTAAAGTACTATACTAGAAAGCAGGAGATGGTGAGTTCAAATCCTGCTTTAGCCATGAAAGCCAGCTGGTTGCTCCCTCTTAGCTCAACCCATCTCAAAAGGTTGTTGTCGAGAAAATAAGAGGAAGGATGTTGGATATATTCGCCACCTTACGTTGTAACCTTAGGCAGGTTACAAATAATAAATAAATAATACAATATGTGAAAGAGTTGCCTAAGTAAGAGAAATAATGAAAAATTGAATTTGAGAGAATTCACTTGATTCTGCTATTTATTTGATGGATCTTCAAATAAATGCAAACTTGTTCTTTACAGATTTAAAAGAAGCTTCCAGATCTTTTTCAGTGGTCTCACACCAAGGTATGGCCAGGCCTCCTTGTCATCAGTGTAGAATACCTTTCTAGGCCTTCAGAACAGATTATTTGGGAGTAATTTCACTTGTAGCTACTTTGACTTGCAGTAGATGGCAGTGAATAAACACAAAAGGCTTACAATTGCTATGGGCTGAAAAATAAAAGAGCCAGTTTGAAATGTGGAATGCATTTGGTGTAGAATAAGCATACTTGGGTCTGACAGGATAAAAGGATGAAAAGATAGGCTAATAAAACATATGAAATTACCAAACTAGACAGCAATGACCATATGAGCAAATAAACTAAGTATGTTTTCATGACAGTGATTACAGTCATGAGGAACAATATTCAGGAAGTTAGTTCTCTCTCTTATTATTAAAGTAATGGGTAAATAGAGATCAGGTTGAAGCTAGAAACAAAATGGTAGCTTGAACTCTGCAAGATTTACCTGAGTGAACGCTTATACACATCTACTCAAAAGAATGTCCTATTTCCAACAAAGCTTGCTTTCAAACAAAAGTAGAATAAAATCATAGCCTTAATGGAGTTTGACTGATTTCTGAGAATACAGTGACAAACAGTGATTTAATTAAGTACAATAGAGCAGCTTTAGGTAGAGCTAGTCCTAGTTTTCTAATATCTCTCCAACAAGCATATATTAGGTTGTGAGCTATTATAGATCAAGATTGGATACCACTTTAATGAAACATAAATCACTTCCACAAGTGTCACCCAACCAGTTCAAACCAACCAGGATTATCATTCATGAAACACAGAATACTTGCTGAAAAGATGTAGTACCTTTTCCAATTGACCAACAGATGAGGGCAAAGAAATTTAGTTGGTACCTTACCCTCTGAACCAGCTTACGTTCAAGAGTAGTTGGAGTTCCCTCACTCCAATGTTACGGAAAATGGAAATAAATACCTTGCTCGTATACATACCCTTGCTCACATTTTAGATCACATTTTGTGCATGTATCTAGAAGCATGCAAAACAATAACAATTCTGAATTCTACCCTCTATTTAACAGCCCCTGTGAGAAGTGACAAGAAATACACTTATATACATCAGTGGTGGGTTGCCCCTGGTTCGGACCGGTTCTATAGAACCAGTAGTAAAACCGGTGGGAGACTCTGCCCACCAACCCCGACATAATCAGAACACTTCTTCACAAATGCAGAAGCTTCTGTGTGTGGGAAGCAAGCGGGTGTGCGCAGCCCCATTGCAAACTGGTAGTAAAGGTAAGTAGAACCCACCCCTGTTATACATGTACTTATGCAGAAGACCGACATACTGCTACGGTGGTTGAAAAAGGAGATGGGGAACTTCCCTTTAAATGACCAGTATTCTAAAATTCTGTGGGAAGAGAGTTGCCTTGAATAAAGAAGGTGAGAGATGGAGTTAATCACAACCACATAGGTCTGCATCTGGTTCCAACCAGGCATAAAGTCCACATGTCAGAAGGCCTGTATTGCATCAAAACTAGCCTCTTGCAAAGCTTTTCTTCATTTACAGGATGCTATCGTGCACAGGTTTCCTTGGAAGAGATTCCAGCTCAGTTCCATTTTCAACTATTGCTTCTATTTTCTTTGTTTATCTACACTAAGCTTTAACTCATTTTTATAGAAAATCAGCTTCTTGCAAACATTAAAGTCACGGTAGGATATATCTACAGGAGGCATTATTTTCTACCAGCAGTGATAGTCTGCTAGGCAAATAACTTAGATATCTGATAGATAACACATTTTTTTTTCAGTTAGTGCATATCCCTAGAACCAACAAATGTTAACTGTTAATAAATGTTTTTGGCCAAGGCTACTATATTATTGTTTATCGCACCGTAAAAAGAATTGAATCAAGTACATTTTTTCTCATAAGACAAATACAGGTAAATTTCCCTTAGCACTTTTTTTTTATCATCCTAACCCTAAATCTCTCAAGATCTTACTTGTATTATCTAATGTTGCTATAGGGGAAGATAGAACTTTTGCCTACCCTTCAACCCCAAATCCCGACATCACAGGGAGAGGAAGTTTTGCTGTCAATAATTATCTTGAAAGACCCATGGAAGATTATTTCAATAGATCAGTGGTTCTCAACCTGTGGTCTGTGGATCCCTAGGGGGGATCCACGATGTCATCACAGGGGGTCCATGAAGGCTTGAAGAAATGTTATGATTTAAATCTTAAATTAAGTCTTGGTGGTCCATGGCCATGGTCTCTGGCCACAAAAGGTATTTAAAGGCGTCTGTGGTGAAGAAAAGCTTGAGAACCACTGCAATAGATGATTACTGTGGTGAGATTACTATATGCACAAAGTTGGAAAGGTTCAGCATTACCCACCATGGAAGAATGCTTGGTGAAATGGTGAAACTTGGTGAAGATGCTGAGATGCTTGGTGAAACTTGCTGAGATGGACAAATTGAGCTTTTTGATCGGAGAAAAGGATAATATGTACATTTAATGGTGACTGGAAAACACTTTGTGGACTTGTGTAAAAAATAAAAGAAGAATTTGTGATTTATGATTTTGAGAATTAGGCAACATAGATTATAGAAAAGGGAAAGGACATAATGTAACTTTAGAGTGAGGAATTTGATTAGAATGTTGTTTAATTATATATTCATTCTTTTATTTTCTTTCCCTTTTTCTACATCCTTTATCTTTGTGTCATCTTTAACTTTCCTGTCTTTTTATTTTTCACATTTACTTTACTACTATATGTTTTCTTTGCATGTATTTTATTATGTACATAAAATATTTTACTAGACATTATTCTTAAAAAAAGAATTTGAAAGATTTGCATTTCAGCTTTGAAAATTTGAATGGACCATGATCTGAGAATACTTAAATGTTATGAACCTTAAAATTTGAAAGTTTGAAATTCTTGAAACAAGCAGGGGGAAAGAACATGATTGTTGAAGTAGAGGAAGGAGGAAGATAGGGAGAATGTATATCAACATTAAATTAATGAACTAGTAGTAATTGATATTGCAATGGATAGCATAGCAGTAGTGGAATAAAGAGAGGAAGTTGTTCTCCTAAATTCTCCTTATGGCTTACTTTTACAAATATATAAGAACAAGTAAGTCTTAAGACATTTAGGGTTTTAGACAGTTGAATGAACACTTTTTATTATTCCCACAACCAAATATGGGAATCAATATTTTGAAGTTATATAATCATTTGGGCCAATGAAATCCTTGGCACAGTTTTCAAATGCAAACTGCTATAGACTACATTGAAACGATCCACAATAGAAGTTTTAACTTCACCAATGTGATTATCAGCTTCATATGACGATGCTCATATAAAGCTGACTTAAATTCAAGCAGACCCTTGTTCAGCTGGATCCTGCCAAATTCAGCCTAAATATCTAGCTCTGTG